CGTGAGAAAGAAGCAGGACATACTCATACCACACTTACTGGAACACGGGAGAACTCAGGCCATGGCAGAGAAAAGCTGCACCCCCAACACAAAAGACAATTGGTAGAAAGAGAAGAAGGTTAAAGAGAAGGAAAGAAAGAAGAGTAAGAGAAGGAGCAAAAGGAGAAAGGAGAAAAGGAGGAGAAAGAGGAGGAAAGAAGAGGGAGGAGGCATCATTTTTTCCCAGGCTGCAGGGAAGGATTTGTCTCCTGTTTAGTATAATCCAATCCCTCAAAGTTAGAAGATAACAATGAGAAAGAGATTTCTTAAAGTTGGACTAATGATAGTCAAAAGAGGCAAAATCGATGGAATATTAACTCCATAACCAGCTACTGTGCTAGGGCCTTTCTTTGCGTTCCATTTTCAGGAGGTACCTGCTTGAGCCTCCTTTTAATGCTAAAGCAGCTGAATCTCGGCAAAGTCAAGGCCCTTGGGTCCCTTCGCCCATGGACTTTCACTTCCTGGGTGCAAGATCCAGGGTTCACACAGAGAGCTGCCTGACCGCAGAGTCTGCGCCCATCACCGATAAGTCCCTTTGTGCCTTTGACCAGCGAAGCAGCAGCTGAAGACCCCTAGCCCCGCACCCATAAGGGGTCTTCCACGTGGGACACTAGAATCATGACGTGGCAGAGGGAATGTGGGGAAGGCCTGAAATGTATGACCAAGAAGAGGGGCCTCAGACAAATGCCAGGATGAGGACCCAGGTGAAGCTACCAGGTGTGGCTCACTGGGTCCCTAGGGAGAGTGTGGATGGAGCTCTGTCTAGGCACTTATGTTGTGCATGTTGCCCCTAGAGGTGCATTTGTCTATTGGGAGGCTCCCTGGGGGGAAGGGACAGCAGGGAAGTCAATGCCACTGCAGCTCAGAGAGTGAAGAAGAGAGAAGTGGAGGAGATCTGAGATGCAGCCAGACCACGAAGAGCCCACAGGCTGTGATAAGAAATTTTAGATTTTATTTTTAGTGGGCTGAGAGGTAACTGAAATGTTCAGAGGGTGCAGGGTTGCCAATATCAGGCTTAAGGGGGTATATTGGAACCCTTTGTACTTTTATGCTCAACCTTTCTGTAAATCTAAAACTGCTCTAATAAATAAATCTATAACAATAGCTATCTTTCTTCCTGTCTACCTACCTACCTACGATGCATGTACCATTAGAGTTTTATTTAAAAAATAAACCACGTGTTTCAATAAATTCTCTGCATCTTGCTTTTCTACTCAACAATGTATTCTGAAAATCTCTATAAGTCACCCGATAAGCCCATAAGTCGTTGCACTAAGAGCTGCCAAATATCCCGTTCTATTTAGTATTCATAAACATTTTCTTTTGTTGAGTCTTGTATGTTTCTGTTACAGAACATAGATACCAAACTTAACTATTATTACTTTAAAAAATTAGACGAGTTTAATTAAAAAAAAAAACTCACTCTTTTTAAGTGGGGGAAAGTGTCTGTTTGGAGAGGGCCAAGGTCATCCAGGTGTGAGAGGTGGTCGGTTGGACCAGAAGCAGGAGGGTGGGGCAGGGCCAAATTCACGGTAGAAACAAGGGCTGGCAGAACAGAACGGAGCCTGCACCCCAAGGAAGGGAGGTGCAGCATTGGGGCAGCCCTTGGAAGGAGAGGAGAGTAATTTGGCGCAAGCCCTCAGCCACCATGCAGGGAGTGTCTGGCGCCCCCTCCAGACCCACTGTCCTCCCCTGCTCAAACTCGCCTCTGCCTGGGGAGCTGCCATGTCTGGGCTGCCTCAGCAGCTCTCCTGCCCTCTGGCTCCTTCTTGGGCTTGGCCAACAGGGAGTCCTGGCAGGGGGTGGTTGGGGGGTGGGGAGCAGAGTGAAATCAGGGGTTTATTTCCCGGACTCCCACCCTCTTTGTGGGGTCTCCGATCAGCAGCTCTCTCCATGGGCCTCTTTCCCCCCTGGAGCTGGACACCTCTCCCCAGCCCTGCCCCTTCCAGCCTGGAGTGTGACAGCTCCCTGCTGCCGCCAGCCCCAGGTCGCTGCACTGAGGGGCCGCCTCTGCTTCCCTCTCCGGAGCATTCTTTGCACATCCTCTTTCCCAAGGGCTCCTCAAATCACCCCCAAGTGTGCTCTGTCCAGCCAGGGCTCCACGAATGCAATCCCACCAGAGCCTGCTTTCCTATCATATACAGACTTAACATAAATTTTACAAATATATATATTTATATATCACATACAACGTAAAAGAAAATAATCTTGCACAAAAAACGAAAACTCAGTGAACCTTGAAAACATTATGGTAAGTAAAGAAGTCAGACCCGAAAGGCCATAGTTGCATGATTCCGTTTGTCTGCAATGTCCAGAAGAGGCAAAGCCGTGGAGACAGAAGGCAGATTGCTGGTTGCCAGGGCTGGGGCAGGGGGAATGGGGGTGACTGTTCGTGGGCACAGGGTTGCCTTTGGGGGTGATGGGAACGTTTTGGAACTAGACAGAGGCGACGGTTGCCCGACATCGTGAAATGTGCTAAAGGCCGACGAACAGTATACTTTAGATAATGAAGTGTTGGGAATTCCACCTCAATTAGAAAAGAAACAACTAGAATTCATGATAGCTGCTGCCTTAACCTTGACATTTGCATCTTTATGGGTCCCCTTTGGGGATTTTACCCCAGCACGCGTGGGTTGCAGCACCGAAGTTACTCGGCTTTTTTGCTGCCTCGGTGAAACCATCTCCGAGGCGTGGTGGGAACAGGCACAAAGCAGAAGCAGCACAAAAATAGGACACATCTTTGCAGAGGGGAAATGCAAGAGCGAACCACGCGGGTCTCTAAGAAAGCCCTCAAGGCCCGGGGCTCTGCGGGGATGGCCTGGCCTGTTGGAGGCGGTGAGGAAGGGAAACCCACAGAGCCAGAGCACACGGATCCCCTCCAGCCCCAGAGGACCAGCCTTTTTTTTGTCTCTCCCCTCTCTGTCCCCAGCTTTGCCAGAAGAGCTGGGATGTTGACACAGCTTGGCTGGCAAGCAGGATGCTGGCAGCCAGGAGCTTGCTGGGGCTCCCAGACCCGCCCCGATGAGGCCTTCTCCTGTCTTCCCACCCATCCGTCTCCCACTTCCTGGCTGGAGACGGCCTGGTCGGGGCCAGCACAGGGCAGGAAAGACCTGGGGACATTGGCCAAGGCCTCCGTTACCTTGGCCCGAGCATGTAATTCATTTGCGGTGGGGACCCTGGGCCTGGCATAGCAGCTGCCTGGCCCTCGACAGCTCTGGGGATGTGTGCTTTTCTGGGGCCTTGGTTTTGAGATTGTGCCACTCACTTTTTCTGCAGAAGGACCAAACCTATTTTGTGTCTCTGATGAGCCTCTTCTTGTCAATGCCTGTCCTGTGTCTACTGGTGAGAACCCACTTGGCAGAGAGATCCACATCCAGAATTCATGGAGTGACTCAGTAGAAAGGGAGTAATGGAACACCCTGGGCAAGAGACCTGCCACTGAAGGGCAGGGGAGGGTGCCCTGAGCTCACAGTAGGAACCAGGCACACCCCAACCCCACTCCAAATTGCTTTGAACACAGCAAAGCAGTTACAAGGCCAGTCTCTGGAATCTGTTTGGTGAGGCAGCTCTGCCCTTACCCACCCTGTGATCTCAGGACACCTATGGAATTTTAATAACGTGCCTCAGTTTCTTCAAAATGGGTATAACAGTCATTCTCATCTCCTGTGTTGGCTGCAAATTAAATGCACATAAAATGCTTAGAAACACATTGGCCCACAGCGAAGAGCTTGCTAACTGTTAACTATTCTTACCAGAAATATCTTTCCCTCCCTGTGGGGATTCAGTTTCCCCATGTGGAACACGAGGCTATGAGAAGAGATCCTTTCTAGGGAGTCTTCTAGTTGTAAATCGGTATAATTCTGGGGTTTTAATAAGGTTTTCTAACTGCTTCCTGGAGGTGGGGCATCTCCTGATAGTCTGTGGACTGCCACTACCGCCCTCCAGAACACCCTCTGCTTCCCCCAAGGCCAGTGGGATGGAGGTGCACTCTGTTTATCTGGCATGTCAGGTTCCAGAAGGGAAGGTTCTGCCAAACACGAAGGCAGCTACTGATGGCAGGGACAATGGAAAGCCACTCTGGGTTCTAGTCACTGTCTTACCCACAAGGCTTGTGACCTAAAAACGCACATGGCAGGGGACAGCTTCAGGGGTCTGTGACCCGAGCAGTCATGGGTTGGGGGGAACACTAATAAGTTTCCTGCATGTCAAATGTTCTGCTGCTGCCATTTTGAAGTTTTAATGATTCTTGAACAAGTCAGGCCACATTTTCATTTTGCTCTGGGCCCTGCAGTCATTCCTGCGTGCTGGTGTATTCCTTAAAGTAACCACTGTCCAAGTATGTGTGTGCATGTGTGTGTGCATGTGTGTGCATGTATGTGTGCACGTGTATGTGCATGTGTGCACGTGTGTGTGTGTGTGTATGCGTGTGCACACACATGTGTAGCTGGGGCAAGAGAGATCCTTGGGAATTTTAAGTTGCCATGGGTAAGGAGGTGCCTCCATCGGCCCCCGTTGCCGCAAAGAAGCAGCGCAGCTCATTACGAGTGGTCTCCAAACCTGGCCCACCCCACCGACCCAACAGCGGCAGCAGCTGGGAGGCAAGAAAGCGGCAAACACGCTGACTCATGAGAATCTCTCAGCACACGAGTCGGGGCAGTGATTTTTCTCTGCCTTACTTCTGTGTCTCTTGCAGATGATGTATGAATCGCCTTACTTACCTTTTCCCTCCAAACCTTCTCCTTTATTATTTTTATTAATGTCATGCCAACCCTGAAAAGGTGTTTCCTTTTCAAAAAAAAAATAAGAAAGAAAGGAAGAGAAAATAACCTCCCAACATCTTGTGCTCATAGCAGAGGGAACATATTTTTTTAAATAGTAATATTTGTGAGTGTGTGTGAAAGAGAGAGAGAAAGAGAGAGAAGCTAGTTTACTTATATGAGAGTCTAAAATGTGAATGTAAATAGGAACAAACTCAGGTCTTTATTTCAGAAAGGTCCAGATTACCCAGGCACGTTTTAGCATCATCTTTATCGACAATAAAAACATCACTGAATTTAACACATTTTAATTTCAAAAGTAAGGGAGACATCGACTGCATTTAGAGTCAGGCGAGATGTGCGGTGCAGTGTTGAAGACAAGCATGTTACTAGGTTCCCGACAGCTTGGACCCAGCACCTGCTGCTATACGGATGTATATCCTTGCCATTGGTTGAGTGCTCAGCCCTTGGCACTCGGCGAGCCATTGAACCTGCGAAATTGGCGTCCCAATGTGCAGAGGATGAAACCAAGGCTTAGAGAAATTCAGCAAACCAGCCCAGGGCTCGCACGGCTCACACCAGAACCAACACTGGAATCCAGATCCATTAGTCTGAGAGCTAACAGGCGTAGCTCTAAATATTTACCTTGGCTCGAGTCTGTGAACATGAGCCACCTCGATTAGCTGCGGCAAAGTGACAGGCGCAGATTGACACTCGACCGGACTGCTGATCCGTTGTAAACTCAACATCTCAGGGGACAAAGAGATCTGAGAAGTGATTGTTCTAACCTGTCACCCAGCGCAGGAATCTTTCCTCCTCTCATGTCCCCAGTTATGGATTCTTTTTGATCATTCCCTGGGATGGAGAACTCACTACCTATTGAGGCAGCCTCTTCCATAATACCACAGCTCTTTGAAAGAGAATGTCTGTCTTTACCTTGAGAGACAGATCTTTTCTCCTCTACCCCTTCCTTAGATCCAAGTTAGAGGCACAAAGAACAGGCAAACCTTCACCTCAGTACAGGTGCTCCCAGCCTCCCAGACTCTATCTTAAGGCAGAGCATCTTTCAAGCTCTCAATGGTTTCTTCCGCAAGCCCGTTTCCAGATAATTTTCAAACCAGTGCAGGATGCTGATCTCTGGTTGAAGAAAATGAAACCTTCCAGCCTTGCACATTTGCACATGAACTTTGGGGTTTGAGGTTCCATGCCTAGACCAGCAGGGATGTGAGCTCCACTTTCCCCAGCGGGGCTGTGATCAAGGGCTCTCGAGGTGAAAGACAGCTCCAGGTGTCCTGCTAGGGGAGCAAGAGCCTCCACCTGCATTCCCAGTGCACCATCCGTACCGCCCCTCTCCGGAGAAGAAACCTCCTTCTCCCCGGCGGTGGGGGAGCTCTTTAAGGATCTTGGGAAGGCGAGGGTGTGCCGTTTATGAAAACAACTGTTTAACAGCTCCCAGGCCGTCCATATTTGAATGTGAAGAAAATAATGGTAAAAACATCATAAAGAAACAGATGTGCCCGAGTCAGGTTTTGTGGCAGGAAAAAATGTGGGTTTGTGAGTATTGATTTCATTCTCCCAGTTGATGAGGATGGATGGTTCTGTGTCCCCCGGGATGGGTCTCGCAGAGCCCAGTGCCGTGGGCTGCACAGTGCCGAGGGCTCTCCACACTTGCTGTCCACCTTCATACACACCTGCATCCACCTGGGTGGCCGCAGGTGCCAAACAGCCGGAGAGGGGGGCCGACCTGCAGTACACAGGTGTTGTCTTCTCCCCAGGCAATGGGATCACAGAGCTATGTTTGCGCAAAGGGAGTGCCTTTTCCCTTTTCCCACTGTGCATTAAGGTGCCTGTATGGACTAGCAGCCACGTTGCATGCACGTATGCACATGTGCACACGGGTATGCAAGTTCACACTCTCACACTGGACCTCACCAGGGTAGGGGATAGACCAGGTCCCTATAACTTGGGCAACAGCTTCTCATTCCAGACCCCCATGCTGGTATGCTCACCGTTCAGCAAAGCAGTAGCTTAGAGGAAGCATGTTGCAGTAGGTAGAGGTTTTAGAGCCAAGGAAACACGATTTTGGATCTTGCTCCTGCAACTGACTACGGTAGCTATGTGGCCAGTGTCAAGCTCCCCATTTGGAGCATGAGTGTAATAAAAGAGGTGACTACCTCACGGGGCTAACTTCCGAAGCTGTCCCCGCAGTGTAGTAGATGCCCAACGAAACTGAGCTTTTCGGAAGTTACTCTGCAGTTGAAGGCAGATAAACAGAGAGCATCTAGCAAGGTGGTTGGTTGGGAGCAGTGTTTCTGAAGTCAAACAGCCTGGGATTAGGAATCCCAGTTTTACCCTTTGCCCTGTGTGGGATCTCAGGCAAGTTACTTAACCTTCCTGGGCCTCAGTTTCCTAACCTGTAAAATGGGGACGATTAGAGTACATGTTTCATGAGCTTGCTGTGGGGAATAAATTAAATCAATGGTGGGAAGTGCTTAGCTTAGGACCTGGTATGCGGGACGCCTGCTGTCTCTTCTACGGGGTGGGCCGGCCCACGCAAACTGTCCCGGTTGTGAAAACCCCAGTCTTTCTTGGCACTCTGTGTATCTCTCCCAGGCAAGTAAAAGCACAACAATAAATCCTCATCAAATGGAAGAATGAAATCGATACAAGAACACCTCCCCCCCCCGCCCCTCACCACAAAAGTGGAACATTTGATATTTGTTCTCAATGTCTGTTCTAACCTTCCTCCCCCTACATTTTAGTAAGTTTAATTTCTGAAATGTTTAACAGTTGTTTTCAGATAAATCACAGTCTAGCTTTCTGGCCCGATTCGCAGGACTCTGCACCGCACAGGGGAAATAAGCTCTTCCGGCTTGTCGGAGAGGAGCAAATGTGTTCTCATTGCCTATTCACAGTGGCGTCGCTGGGAAGGGACCTCGAACATGCAACTTGTCAGACTTCCCCGTTACCTGGCATTCAAATGTGTAGTGGAATTATTTTAGAAATGGATTGCTAGTTAGCTTTTTTTTTTGGTTGGGGGAGGGAGTGTTTCCAGGTACAGTTTCATGAATAATAGCTTTGTAAAGATGAGCTTGCTTGAAAATAATAAGAAAGTATTCACAGCATGGGTGCAAACACAGTATGTACACGTGAGAGTTGGAGGACGTATCCGCTTGCCATCCAGGGTGTTGATTTTCCTGAGCATTGCTCTGCGTGGTACCAGCACCGCCATTTTCTTCCAGCAGAATGACTGGAAATTCAGGGTCTAGTGACAGAAAAATCTGGGTTCAGAACTAAGATGTATAACTCCCCTGTCCACCCCTACAAACGCAACCTCCATTCTTCTCTCCCCAGTTCTGTGCCCAGAGAGGCTGTCGCAGGTTGTTAAATCAACCAGGGACTCCACTGCCTTTGGGATGTTGGTTGGATTTGACCAACGCCGGCACTGCATGGGCTGGCAGCCAGGCGGAAGTATGTTGGGGTGCATATTCTCCCAATGGACCACATGTTTGCAGTGGCTATTTTTCTCTCTGCAAACCCTCTCCTTCCCCTAGGACTCTCTCTGACTTGATGGCACCTTTTCATTAACTTGCCGCCATTACTCTCCTCGAGTGAACACGAAAGATGCTTCATACCAGCTACGAAGTCATCTTGTCCATGACTTCACCTCTTGGAGCCTCAGTGCCCACCTTTGTAATCGGGGGACGGGAAGAGCGCCAACCTCATCCAAGTGGGAGAATCAAAAGAGATGATGAGGCCAACATTAGGGCCTGCCACAAAGTCCGTTGTGCTCAGTAAATGGCAACTGTTTTCTGTCACCATCGTCATCGTCATCCACTTAGATGGTGAGACAACTAACCCTACCCCTTGTCCTTCCTGGTCCTTGTCTCTATGATCAGTGCCATTCATCAAAATACAGGTGGTGCCTGACTTACACTTTCAACTTTACAATGGCACTAAAACGACACATAGCAGTAGAAACTGTACCTCAAGTATCCATACAACCATTCTGTTTTTCACGTTCAGTGCAGAATCCAATACATTACATGAGATATTCGACATTTTATTATAAAACAATCTTTCTGCTAGACCAGTGGTCCCCAACCTTTTTGGCACCAGGGATGGGTTTCATGGAAGACAATTTTTCCATGGATGGGCGGCAGGGAGGAGGAATGGTGGTGAGGGGGCTGGGAGTGAGGGGAGAGGGGAGGGGTGACGCAGAGCTCAGGTGGTGATTTGAGTGATGGGGAGCTGCTGTAAATACAGATGAAGCTTCACTTGCTCACCTCCTGCTGTGTGCCCCCAACCCAGTTCCTAAGTTTCATGGAAAAGACAATTTTTCCACCGATGGCATGGAGGTGTGGCAGAGGTCTGCAGCCCAGTCCCTAACAACCCTGGTGGTTGGGGACCGCAGCGTTAGACGATTTTGCCCAACTTCAGGCTAATGTAAGTATTCTGAGCATGTCTAAGGTAGCTGAGGCTAAGCTATGATGTTCAATAGGTTAAGTGTATTAAATGCATTTTCAACTTAATGACATTTTCAACTTACAATGGGTTTTTCCGGGATGTAGCCCCATTGCAAGTTGAGCATCTACATTTCCCCACTCTCCTCCTCCCAGACACAAGGTGGGACTGCACTTCCTGCCCTCTCTATATCTGGGCACAGGCATGAGACCTTCCTTGGCCTATGAAATCTGGGTGGAAGCCACACATGTCCCTTCTGGGAGGAAGCTTTGAGAGCCAGCATTCAATTCCCACCACGTTCCCTCCACATCAGCCTATCAGCCCAGTGATCTCAGAAACATGGGCTGAGATGGAGCCTCCGTCAGTGGGTGTCTCTGAGTGACAACCACCACCACGACCAAAGCCCCTCTGCCAACCCACGCTGCACATGCTACTTGGACAAACTGAAGCCATTTTTGCTGCCCCTCAGCTAAGGGAAGTGAGCAACAGAGAAGTGAAGATCCTGGCTCAAGTGACCTGAATGCCAGCTCCCAGGCAATTCTCTTCACTCCCACCTCCACTCACCTCTGCGGCCGGATGGCAGAGCAGCTGGGACCCACCCTGCCTTAGGGACACATAGAAGGACAACCATGCAACAGCACCAGCCTGGCTTACCCCAGAGGAAGACGAGTCCACAGAGGGTCCAGTGCCAGGCTTTCGAGCAATGTTTACAATGTTCCTGAATGAATACATTTCCCCAAATTTTAAAATGTCCCCCAAGAGTTGTCACCCACTCTATTCTAAGGATGCTGAAAAGAAATATCAACATTAGCCCAATTCTGAGTTCTGTGGTGCAGGTGGGGGGAACTTTCAGGTGCTATGTTAAGCGACTGACAAACCTACTTTGTTTAAAATTTCCTCGCAACAAGGTGATTATTATTGACCCAGTCTACAGAGAGGCTGACTGAGGCTCAGAGAGGTTAAGGAAACTTACAGAGGTCCCAAAGCTGAGTAATATTAATGGATACGGTAGTAATAATTAGTATAATACGTGATTATGTTAGTTGACATTTATCAAATGCTTACTCTGCTCCAAGCACTGATAAGCCCTTCTGTGCATAAGTTCATCTGTGATGTGCTTTTGAAGTGTGCCTATGAAAATGGCAATTTTATCATCACCATGCGGTATATGAGAAAACCCGTTCAAGCCCTGGTCTCTTCTCCCAAGGCCTTCTCCACCATGCAGTGTTTCCCAAACTGTGTCCCATGGAACTCTGGGGATTCCATGGCACCAGAACAAGGAAAGAGAGATCTAAGGTCTTACCACAATTCCAAGGAGAGCTGCTCCCAGGAGCCCTCAGTTCCCACCTTCAGGCACGAGCATGCCATCTGCCACCTCTGGCACCCTGGAGAGTTGTCATCTCTGAAGCAACATGCATTGGCCTCCCCTGACTCTCTCCCTCCCTCCCCTCCCTGCTGCAATACAAAACCCAGTTCCTTATCACTTGTCGTCGCTAACCATCCACTGGCCCCTGGGGACCTGGACAGACTATAACCCGGGTGGCCTGGCGGGAGTCCAAGCCAGGCGACACTGCTCTCGGATACCCAAATTTCCTGCCTGTGGTTTGCACTGCTGTAATTGTGCTGGTTCACACTTCCTGTCCTAACCCGTGCGCTGGTGTGATGCTGACTTCCTCCCAGACACTGTATTCACGGCAGAGGTGGCCAGCTGTGGTCCTGTGACCCGTCACCATGTGGGAAAAGAAACTGGAACCCTAGACCCTCCTGACTCTGCCCTTCTGGCCCGGCCATGCATCCTCCGTCCACGAGAGTGGCGTTTTGCGATGCAAGGGCCTCCTCCTTCCGGGAGGGTGGAGCTGGGCAGGAGGGGATGCTCAAGGCCTACGGGAGACCTAACTGTGTTGAACCAGTACCCCAAGTGTGCACTTTCATACTTTGGGCCAAATCATTATTGTCAAGAGCCTGAGTTCTGACAAGTGCCTGCTAACTCTTCTCCTGACTTCCCCTCTTGCCAACCACTCACGCCTTCCAGTTCTGGCTCCACCTAGCAGCTGGGGCGATCCTATAATTCAGATCAATTCACACCCCCCGATTAGAGCCCTTCTATGCTCTCCAGTCTTTCTAGGAAGCAAAACTCAAGTTCTCATCAAGAGTTAAGAGACTCTTCAGTATCCAACCTCTGCTTCCTTGCAACGTGCACATCTTACCTTGCCTGCAGCCACGCTGAGCCCCTTCCTGTCCCTGGGAGCTGTCCCGGGGTATGCTGGGCTCTCGTGGTCCCTAACTTCGCCCCCCCCCAACCTTGCATGGTCTCAGGCCATGTTTGTCTACCTGCTGGAGCTTGTTTCTGTACCTAGAAGCAAGAGTGTGACACCCAGGGACCCAGCTGCTGGGAAGGTTGCTATCACTCCTAAGATCAACACTTGGCACCTGAAGATCACTAGCCATATGCCTGGGACCCTGCTCATGGCTTTACCTTCTCATTTCATTCCATCCTTACAACAGCCCTATGAAGTAGGCATCATCATCACCACTATATTTTAGATGAATAAACTGAGGCTCAGAGCATTTAAGTAACTCACTCAAGATCATTTGGTTAGGAGTGTTGAAGCCTGGCTAGGTTAGGATAATTTCCTCCTAACCACTGTATTATACTTTCCTTGCGAATTCAATGAAATAATGAATTAAAAGCAGTAACACATAGGAAGTGCTTAGACATTGTTCAGGATGACAAGGGGCACAAGCTGTTTAAGGTGAACACTTTGTGCTCAAGTGACCGAGAGTTCCAAGCCCAAGTGCCATGGCAGATACTTTCCCTATTTACTTTTAGTTAATAAAATTACAAAATATCATTGGATCTTAACGACACCCCAAGGGGGTTAATTACATGGTGGGGAATTGTCCTCGAGCTCAAGCACTGTTGGTTTAATGGATGTACTTTCAGGAAAAAGAAATATAGCACATTGATCTTTAAAAAGGAAAACTAAAGATCTCCCAGATGCAGATGAGGAAAGAGAAAAGTCCTCACTCAGCATGTGGCCCGCCATTAATCCTCAGGACACATTTCCTGCAGGATCTCTGGGTTCTTCCTGTTGTGGACTCAGGAATTCTAGGGCTCAAGGCTTCCAGTCAGAGCAATTTCCCAATCTCCCTGAATGAGAGCCTCCTCCTCCTTCTTAGTTAAAATCTCTTGGGAAAGAGAGAGAGAGAGAGAGAGAGAGAGAGAGAGAGAGAGAGAGAGAGAGAATGAGAATATCTTCTCACCCTCTGCAAACTCCTACCCACTAGCAACACCCCTCAATTGGTACCAGCAGGCCAGGTCCTTCCAGTGCTAGAACCTCCAACTTGCTTGTGTCTCTGAGACTCAGTTTCCCTACTTATAAAATGGGGATAGTACCATGGATTTCAGTAGGACAGCTCATTTCAAGCAGTCGCTGAATAAATTATAACAAGAGCCTATAGTTTTCATATGCTTTCTATGTGAAATAAGCACTTTAATAAGCACCATAATAAATATATCCCTATTGCACAAGCTTACATGATAGATATTAGTGTTATCATCTTCATTTTCCAGAAACAATGCTGGGCTCTGGGGAAATAATGATAAATAAGGGTGTAATCCCTGCCTCCATATAGCTCCACTTCTGGTTGGGGAAACAGTCATGGAAAATGGCACTTGCAGGGAAATCGAGTCACTGTGAAGGGACAGGCATTTCAGCTCTGGGTACAACAGGCCCCCAGGCAGAGAACCTAGGATGTGCAGGGAGCTAGGCACAGCGACCATGTGAGACGGGGTAGGGAGAGGAAGCAGATGTCAGACTCAGACAGGTAGAGTATCTTGCTGAAAGACACACAGCTACTTAGAGAAAGAGCCTAGATTCCAAGCAAGGTGATTTTAGCCCCACATTGTGGACCCTCCTCTGATCCAGGGCTGTTTGATAGCCTCAGTCATGCTCTCAGCTCCCCTGGGGTAGAAGCCACACTTCTCTTTTTATGTGAGTCTTCCTACATATGCAAGACAGTGCCTCAGTGATTCCATTGCACAGTGCAAATAGAGACCTATCTCCCCTACAAAGAGCTGCCAAAAGAGCTGTATTTGCAGAGCCTCCTCTGGTTGCATGCACAGGTGGAAAGAATAGCTGCAAAAAAACATAAATAACTGATGCATTTCCATAGGCATAGAGTGAGTGTCCCTCTGCTTGGCACGGGGTGGGTGAATCGACAGCCGTCTAGATTTGGCCCCTGCCCTTTGGGAGTTTACAGTCAAGCCAGGGAGACAAATGCATGCACAATTCGTGTATCTAAAAGCAAAACAGAGCAAATGCTACAAGCAGGGTCCCAGTGGGGTGCTCTGGGAGCGCAGAGAAGCCTGTGATTAAATAAAAGAGGCTCCTTGGATTGAGATCAGTCCAGTGATGGCTTGCTTGCTGGTGCTTTGGGCAAAAGTCATTTAATATCGCCGAGTGTTGTAAGGCTGAATTCGATTAAGGCTCTAAACGCTCGGAGCTCCTTGGAGAAACTCGTTTCATAAATACCATGCAGTTGGAGAGCTCAAAGTAGTGGCATATCCCTGTGAGGATCACGTTTAGATTTCCAAATTCCAAAGAGGAGACACAATGCGTTCTGTCTCAGAATCTTCCCCAGCACGGGGAGAAAGGCAGAATGATGGAAAAGGAGTTTTGAGGATTTGCTGAATGATAATAGTGTTGCAGTCATTGTAAACATGCTAGCCCAGAAAGATTTCTCTCCTGGCATCTCATTGGTTTTTCTTCTTGGACTTTTCCTGATGCATTGGTCAATATAGTTTGATAGCAGATATTGTTATGATGTTAGAGCACAGGGCTTTCTATGTGGCAAAACCAAACCGGCATCTATTCAACTCAATTTACTGTTCTGTCTTCTAGCCATGGTTGTTCTAACAGGAATTCTCCACCACAGTTAGGGCATGAATATCCTTTTGTGGCCAGTTTTCTAGGGTGAGTAGACTGAATTCTTCTCCCCCTGAGGGCAAAGAAGACTTTTCTCTGCACTGGACCAGACTTCGGTACAGGAAATAAGGTTATGTTGAGGCTCTAAATATCTTAAAAGAACTTTCACATATACGACTTATTTCTATTTTCAGAACAGTCTAAAAGCATGAGTTCATTCATTCTAAAGTACTTACTGCCGAACACCCCACTGTGTGGCCAGACGCTTTGCCGAGTGACACAACAGGACTGGTGAATAAGACATACTGGCTGGCTGGGGAGTTTGGCGGAGAAGACAGACAAGTCCACAAAGAATTACAAGGTAAGAAAAGCCAGTTCTTGAGACAGTGGGGACAAAAGTAGGGAGCAGTAAGCCTAACAACATGTTGGAAGTTCCATTATACAGAAGGGAAAACTGAAGTACAGGGAGGTTCAACAATGCACACAACGTCCTACGTCGTCCCAGTGGTTAAGTCCTTGAATGACACACCCCGTTATCTGACCAGCAAGGGCTGTGGACTAACTCAGTTCTCTGGAAACAAATTCACTAGGTCAGTAACAGCCTAAGTGAAATGATTACTTCTTCAATTTTGAGGGGATCTTAAAAGTTCATTGTGATTTATTCCTTTTTTCCCCTTCTATCTCAGAATAATATGGCTGTGATAATCCTGTGATCGTCAGCATGAAATGACCCCAAGACATCTAGTGTAAATACACACACCCCCATCCCAGAGATAATCTGGGTTCCCCCAGCTACTGGAGCCTACTCAGGTCCAGGGGGATTTGGGGGAGCCTTTGAAGGGACCCCCCCTGGCACCCAGCTGTGCCCATCAGCATCCCCGGTTACAGGCAAGCAGGAAGCCCGGGCAGAGATGTAAGTGACTTAACCCTTCCGCAGGGGGGGTCAGTTCGCTGCATTAGCTGGGAGCCGTGCAATACCTTCTGGCTCGGATTTCCTGCTTCGCTCTGACCCACCTCTCATAAGGATTACGTCTTCCTCTGGGATTGGACTTTGAGGCCGGTTTTGTAGATGGGGATTTATTTGAAACGGGCAAATGAAACTTATCTCGCCATTAGCCTGTTGCCATTATTCCTGTCTGGTCAGCCAAATGAGAGAGAGCTCAGCTTGAGAGCTCAAAGGTTAACGCTGGCTATCCAATACTCATCAGCGATTTTGGAATTTCTAGAACGGCAGTAGAACGGGAACATTTTACCTTTCGTGTGTTCCCCCATAATTGTACTACAGTGCACCACAATTTTTAGTTTGATCGTGCATATGGGTTTTTTTTTTATTGTTGCTTTTGTTGTTGTTTTGTTTTGAATTCTGGTTTCCTCGACAGCTTAAATGTCCACAGATGCTTCTTTGGAGAAACACATTATGTTCCATCGGCCAAATATAGAAATCACTCAAGTTATCGTCCAGCAAAAAAATATGTCATTACTTTCTTTCCCCCAAAATTCTTTATCGCATTGGATATGGGAATTAGATAAGATTAAGTTCTTAGGCAACATCAACTTATGGGGCAGACAGATTCTGTGCTGTTCAACTGTGTCAGGACAACATTTATATCTGCTTAAACAGAAGACAATGTGTCCAACACGCACACAGAGACAGCCGCGTGAGGTTTGCTTTAAGTAGAGCAGCATTAGGTTACTTTAAGGTGACAATTTCTAAATGAGAGTAAAACTGTGTAATAAGATTTAAAAAATTGGACTCATTCTTAGTTCACCAGCTCCCCAGCCAGTGACAAAATATGCCATTAGTGGCCACAGCACGATTCTGAAAATATACCTTCCTTACGATTTAACGCTTTTTTTTTCCCTGTGAGCTAAAAATTACAAAGCCCCGGATTTCATCGCTCTTGCAATCTATTCTTTTCCCCTGACTTCCTGTTTTCATGAAATTTTAATCAGGCACTTAAAATAAATAGCTATGCAGAGCTTCTCTGCCTCCCCCAGTACCCAGGATGGATGTTTTGGGTAAAGTGATAGTCCGGAGACCTTGAGAACAGTGAATCCCATCCTGACTTGGCAAGACAAGAGAAATTAAAACACGGCTGTGTCCACGGCCGTGCGCCCAGAGGGGGTATAGTGGGCTTGGGCTTGGAGGATCAAACAAAGACATAGTATGTGGGACTTTTTTTTAATTCTTCTTCTTCCAAATATTGACAGCAATTTGATCGATTTAGAAAGGCAAGCAAGATAAAGGACAACTAAATTAATCTGAGAGAGAGAGGGAGAAAAGGAATAAACCCCAGTAAACTTTTAAAATCCCCTTGAAGGTGAAAAATGAATCACATAATGTAGAAACACTACGTTTCATGGCTATTGGTTTTTCATGATGTATATTTGAGTCCCTGTCCTTTAAACTAAAAGACGCTTGGTGTTTAAAACCTGCCAAGATTTTGTTTTCTATTCATTTCATGTAATAATTATATCTACAAATGACATTAGAGAAATGTTTACTATATTTGTTGCAAAACCATTATATTCAGGGCTGGATGTCCTTTCTTGGAATGCCTCCAGGTTTCACAGAGACTGCCACGAACCCAGAAAGACATAAGATTGCTAGAGAATGAATATGGTCACTCACATTCATACTCGGTATATCAAAGTCCTAGAAGCCTAGAAAGAAGGTTCTTAGACACACATAAGTAAAGCAACTTCCTTGCCTTAAACTGCCAAGAAGCTTCAGTATAACATGTAGGAAAACAGCATGAAAGGCTCTTAAGTTTTAAGTAAAAACACGATGAAATGATGTGAGAGTTGACATCATTCAATCCCCATGGATCCCCATGAATCTACTTCTTGTCTCTTTGGTCTCAAATAGGAATAGATTCATAGTAACTGCAGGTTTCCATGCATGGCCACAGACAATGTACACAAGCACACATCTCCCTGACTCTGAAGGTCCAGCCCCTGGTTTTAAACATTGGGAGATGAGTCCTGTAGGTTAGTGGTAAATGTTTTACAACTGACTTTCCTACCAAAAAAAACGGTGGTGGGAAACCTCGATTGGTAGCATTTGTCCATTTCCATGGTATAAATACTCCCACTGCAGCCAATTTCAAACTGCTATAATGTCACCAAAAGTGGAGTTGGAAAGAGTTGTGCAGGAACACCCTCATAGATAACACCATAGATGCAAATAATAACAACATCGATAATAGTATAATGTAGTAAAACAATTAGGAAGTGAAGATTTTTGAATACTTATTCTATTTTTAAAATAGAATTTATTTGATTGTAAGTTTACATAATTCAATTTTTAATAATGGCTGTCCATGATAATGACTCACAACATTGCTGAAAATTTAACAGCGGGCTCTTGTGAGCCATTACGAACTAACCTAACACACCAGGGCTGCAATGGGACCTGGCCGTAGAGCTCCATTTAGTTGGAAATAGCTGTGTGTCATTTGTGGTTTAGTAAACTTGCCTATTTCCAGGGATAGACCACATTTTTGGATCTGTGCTAGCTTGGTCTTGGTCCCCCAAAGTTTCCCCCAAATTATAATTGACCACAAAATATCAGTGCTGCCTGTTTTCTTCAATATAGGGTTTCATCTCCTTCATTGTCTCCAAATATAGCTCCCAGCTTGCCTTCTTACCTTGCTTAAGTGGAATCTAAACAACCTCAGAAAGACTTGAATCAACTCCCCAAACAAAAGAAGTCATTCAGCTCCATGGCTTCGCAAGTCAGAAAAGCTTGAAAATACTATTTTTCTTCCTATGAGCCCAGAGGATCAAGTTCCACTAGGGAAAGAGAGAAGACTGAATTTCTACCAAGTTCCTTTTCTAATGTCAACATTTGACGACCTCACAAAATAGGAGACCTGGGGGCGGGGGGGGGGGGGCTTCCACCCTGATGGGGTGGGGAGGGTCCCATCATTTTGCCTCACAATCATTAAGACCACCTCTTGGAGAAGCTTATGTAAGAATTCTCACCACCGTTTGAAGAAGAAACCATTGTCGGGCAATTTGGAAGAGCCACCTGAGAAAGGTCTCTTTGTGCCATGGCACCCGAAACACATTGGTTCCACACCAACAGAGAAGAAGGTGACAGTTTCAAAACAAAAGTGAATGTGACGATCCAGTTCCAGTTGCTAGGGATCCCATATTCCAAGAGTTTCCTCTGCCCCCTTTAGTTTCCCAGCCATGCCCTGTTCCTAGGTGCCAGGAGCCCTTTACCCCTTCTCGTGGCTGTCCCAGTAGCGATGGTGTGATTTTCTGGAATCTCGCTCATGGAGAAGAAAGCCAAGCTCATGCGGCTAGATGCATATAGCTTCTGTGAACCACCCACACTATCAACAGATACCATCCCAGGGGCCAGGAAATCATCCTGCTCTTGGCAAAAAACCCTGCCACTTGGGTAGGAACTGAGCAAAAGCATCCAAGCCAAGCAAAACTGAGCAAAGCATGGATCTCTCTGTACTGAGATCCAGATTCAGCGTGAAGGATCTTGGCAGAACGACAGCTGGGCTCGGCCCTGGTAAATGTCACAACCGTATCTCAAATAGCCCATTCTCTTAATAAAACACAGTTTGACTTAAGGCTTCGAGGTATCAATTTGAAGGGAGGAAAAAAAGGCAAGAGAGAAGCCAGTGGAGAGCTTTCTGCCATGAAGGCATGTGCTTGTACACATTTCTGACAGAATCATCCAAAACATTGGAAATGAACTTGGCTGTCTTTGGCTTCTTTATTTACAATCGCTAACTACTCAGGGATTCTCAGAAACGCAGAGATTTCTTGGAGTGGGTTGCCTGCAATAATGTGCCTTTCCTTTGGTCCCATCTAGGCGGCTGATGGGCTGGTGCAGGATTTCCCTGCGTTTGCATATTTACAGGGTCTGCTCCAGTGCCACTGAACGGAGCCTGGTGCCAGCAAAAGGGGGTCAGGCTGTCAGGGGCTTCTATTTCCCTTCTCACCTATAGTATTAGACAGCCCAAGTCCTTCCCCCAGCTGAGAATAAGACCACCCCAGAGGACTCAACCGCTATGTCCGTGGCAACCTCAGGCAGGTCGGATGTGGGAAAGAACAGAATGGAACTCTCGGTTCCAGAATAAGAGATTGCAAACTGCAAGCTGGGCTCTTGTTGCTCAGTCACACCTTCCCCTGGGCCAAAGTCAGGGGAAGGAGGTTTTTGCTTTGGATTCAAATAGACCCTCGTTTGAGCTCAGTCTCCACCCCACTCTCTAGCTGCAAGCTGGAAAACACCTTGGCTATCCTGAGCCTCAGTGTGCCGGTGTATTAATAAACAAACAAACAGAGAAAGAAAAGAAAGGCATTCACCATTGGGGAAAGTTGAGTGAAGGGTATTCAGAACTCTATGTCCTATTTTTAATAACTTCCTGTGAGTCTATAATTATTGTAAAATAATTTTTAAAGGAGCATTAATGCTAACAACAACAATTTTAATAATATCTCAGACGTTGTTTTTGGAAGAAGGGTGAAACAGAATCATATATGTGTAAGTGCCAGCAGGTGTCGGCATGCATATGGTAAATGTCGGCTGAATGAAGTCGTGATTATAGATGCTAAGCATAAAATAAATGTTGTTTTAGGCCAGGTGTGGTGACACATGCCTGTAATCCTAGCACTCTGGGAGGCCAAGGTGGGAGGATCGCTTGAGCCTGAGTCTGAGGTTGCTGTGAGCCAGGCTGATGCCACAGCACGCTAGCCGGGCAACTGAGCAAGATTCCGTCTCATAAAAACAATAAATAAATAAATAAATGTTATTTTAACTTAATTTCAAACAAGGAATGATACATGTTATGTTCATCAAGGGTCAGGAGAGTCATTTTTCTCTCAAAGAGCTAGGGCACTTATAAGAAGATCTCCCCAACAAAGCGAGGCCCAAACAAGTGGGTTGATATTGCTGTGTGTTTAGGGGGTGCCCAACCTTGAAGACATGCCCAAACAATTTCTTTTAAAGTCTTGTTTATCTTTGTGTTTCTTCTGGCTTGAAGACACACCTGCAGGTTCCCATTTCTTGGGGAAATGGTGACACGAGTGATTAGCAGGCTTTCTCAGGTCTCATGAATCATTCTCACGGGCAGGGGTGGACACGCATCTGTGATCACCCAGAGCCTTTTCTTATGTGTCTGTCCCACCACATGAGAGCCTGAACAGGCCCACTTTAAAGTCAGTGCCCGTGATGGAGTGAAGGAAGCAAATGTGAAAATTGGGGTGCACTTAAAACCTACATTTTCTAAAAAAAAAAAAACCGTTGAAATGCATTTAGAAAATGCGTGTGGAGCATGATAAATGAAAAACAGGGTAAAATATTTAAGAACATTATTAATTTTTTTAAATGTGCATTTACACAAACAGGAATGTATGTATGCCTCAACAAGCAGATACAAAGAAAAAAACCAAAAGGTTAATAAGAGCTTGGTATTTATTACTTTCATCTGTATGCTTTTCTTAATATTGTAAATTTTCTCTAAAGCATTCTTTTCATAATAAAATAAATTAATGATTAATTGTGGTTTACTGTCTCTTTTCAAAATTAGTTATGGCCACATCTTTGCATAATTATGATCCTGACGAGAGTAACACGGCAGGTCTATGATGGAAGAGATGGAGCTGGTTACTCTTAAGCCCATTCCCTGCGGTCAGAAAGGGCTCTTGATCCAGCCGATGATGTGTCCATTAAGGAAAATGATGCTGGGTGGGGAAAGGTCCACAAGGAAGAGAAACCAGGAAACCCACCCTAGAATGTAAGCCCTGCCAGTAAGATTTTGGGTGACACAATCCCCTAAGTGCTGATTTCCTAAATTTCCTGCCTCACTGAGTGTTTGGCGGGTCAGCAGAGTTAAAGTACAGATTGTGAACCCTCTAGGGGAAATTCAGGTACCACCATGAGTCATTTAAACCCTATTGCTAATTCTATTGCTAGAGCTCTTATAATCATACCCTGGCCTGAGTGTTTCTAAGGGGTAACATCCACATCTCCCCAGTTTCAAAGAATTAAATAAAAGAAAGGCGGTGGGGTTAGGATGAGACGGTCTCTATCTTCTGCACCTCTTCTGTCTACAAAGAGCTTTTGGGAGCCCCTTCCTAAGCTAGGAACCGCTAGGTTCTCTAAAGGATAAGAAAACAGTCACCAGTGCGATCCAGGAGGCACGATGTCCCTTCCTATTATTATCTGTGTCGCGTGCCCTGAAAAAGGGTTTGGATGGTCTGGGGACCATAGGGATGCCCCTAGGAAGGTACCCCAGCATCAGGCTGCCAGATAAAACACAGGATGCCCTCCCTGTTCAATGTGAATTTCAGATAAACAGTGAGAACTTGTTAGCATAAGTCAGTCTGAATATTCTATATGACCGACTTACACTAAAAAGTATAAGATTACCTGTCATTTATCTCAAGTTCAAATGGAACTGGGGTCCTTGTGGTTTCACTGGCTACATCTGGCGAATCCTACCGGGGCGGCACGTGGCTCTCCAGTTACTCGGACAGAGCGTGGAGTGGAAACGGCCCCCGGCTCCGGCTTGAGAAGAGCGGAGAGCGCAGGGCCGGGGACAGAAGGGACGCCTCTCCTCGCCAGGTCTGCAGCATCACCCTGAGCCGCCGGGAGACAGGTCTTTTACGGAAATAAGAGAGTTGATCCCTGAGAAGCAGCGTGGGTCAGAGTTTCACTAAATAAAAGGGAAAAAGGCGAAAACAAACGTACAGTGGGAGCCTGCGCATCTCGGGTGCGGTTTGTTTCCACTTGAATCCCTAAATCCGATAGACTGGCAACCGCGGGGGAGCCGAGCCGGCCGCTCTCTCCTCTGGACAGGGGCTGCAAATTATCTGGCCTCTATTAAACTCGGGCAAGATTTAACTAGTAAGAAACAGTTGAAATAAAGTATCTGAATAAGATCATTAAGAGAAGTCGAGGTGTCTCTTCCTCACGCTCTTTGGGGCTTTTAATAAAAGTTGAATTGTAGCTGTATGAGAGTTGGGGGCCTCTGGAGGGGCGTGAGGATAATGTGGATCATGAACTGCTCATGTGTGTGCATGTGTGTGTGTGTGTGTACGTTAGCGAGTGTATGTGCATGTGTGAGTGTATGTGCATGTGTGTGTGTGCGTATGTGCGTGTGTATGTGTGTGTGTGCGTATGTGCGTGTGTATGTGTGTGTGTGTGTGTGTGTCCATGCACATGCGTGCATAGTGCCAGGCCTAGAAGATGGACAAAAATAACACAAAAGAATCACTTAGTGCCTCGGATGTCTTTGAAGAAGCACATGGACCTTGTCTCGCCCTCCCCAAGTGGCCGGCATACCCATGTGGTCAGTGGTAGCTTTGCACAGTTAAAATAAAGAAAACAAATATCCAAATATCCAATATCATTGCTGTGAGCTGGCCTTGGGTCTTTGCCGACATCTGAACTGCTTCACATAACCTCCTGGCCTCTAAAAATAGATATTCTGTGGTACATATAATTTTTATACGATGACTAATACAGGAATGCCCTTTGGGATAACTTAGTGTCTTAGTTTCCCTATTTTCTCTCTATATTTATCTATGTCTTCACTGGCCTCTTTGTGTAAAAGTTAGACTGTAGCCATGGACCGAGAACATTAGACAAGAATTTATTTATCTATTCCTTCAAGGGCTATCCTTTGTATCAACATTAGAGACCCTCACATTTTTCAAAGTGGGCAGAGTGATGTGATGCTCTTAGACCCGGGTTGTGTTTCTACCACTTTTCCACACCTAGGGCCAGTCGGAAGGGGTTTCCAGCTACCCCGTCATGTTTCTATTTTACAGACGACTGAGTCAAAAATACACAGCTAAACTCATGGACTCCAAACGATTCCTTACAAGGCAGCTTGCCGCCCAGAACCCCGGTAAGAAGGGTAGTGTGGTCGTTCACAGCCGTGGAACTCTTAGTCTGCATTTTCCTTTTGTCTTTTCTGAACTGAGAGAGAGTGAGAGAAAGAGAGGAAAAAGGGAAGAGGGAACAAAAATGGGAAGAGAGTTCAGGTTCCTTCAATGCCCATCTGGCACATAACCTGAACTTTTGCCGGGAAGTGAGGATTCCAGAAACGGAATGAGAAGATCCTCTGGGGGGAAAAGTCACAAAGATCCATTGCTACTTCCTGTCACCTTTATTTTAACACCAGTGACCTCTGTGCCACCTCCTGGGTGGTTAACTCTGATCGTGAGGAGGTGGAGAAATGAATTTCCTTATCCAGCGGTGTCCTCTTTTCGGAAATAACACTCCCTGTCCTCTGTTCCATCAAAACAGCCACTGCTCAAAGTCAGAGCACTGGAGGAGGCTGTGCCCAGAGCTCCAACCCCTCCCCAGGAGAGACCACATGGGGAAGGGAGCAAAGCGCCCAGAGACAAGGAAAGCCCGGGACACTGGCACCCCAGCACAGCTGCAGGCCTCACTGTCACCGGCCTTACAAGCCAATCTCACCAGAGCTCTTTGACTCCAGTTATATTGTCAACTGCAGTCCCTGAATCTACTTGCACAGGTGACTGGCCCAACGTGGGCTACTCAGAAGTACAGCTTGGGGATGAGCAACAAGATTTTATTCCTAGCCTTTGAAGTGGAGTGTCAGTTTGTTTTACGCCGGCCAATGGAAACAGAATGTGAATGTAATTTATTATTATTGTCTCACCGCATTACCACGTGGATTTGACCTTACAAATAAAGGAGTTGGGCCAGCTGGACATGCGCATTTAAGAGACAGGTATCACTCTTAAAAAGTGCCAGAATGCTGCCCTGGAATGCAACATCACAAAGCTAACTAAGCACCCACATACACGTGAGTTTTAATGAGTTACATGCAATATCTTTTTATCTCCCAAACTTATGATGTACAGCATACTGCCAATAACATCTACCTTCAAAACCGTGACCAGTCACCAGCTGCTTCCTTTTCGGGGTATTGTCTATAAGAGGCCTAGATGTAATGGGAAGTGAAGGGGATTGGGGGAAAAATCCAACATTTGAGCTCAGGCTCTTCCCTGGACAGTGTAGGTTAACCTCATAATCTCACTAGACCTCAATTTTAACTTTTGCATTTGTTGGTACTGATGACAACAATGACAAACACGCCACCTCCTTCCTAAGCTGGCTGTGAAGATCAGATCAGCTACTCTTGTGGGACATCCACTCTTACCCACTCAAGGATTTTTACCCTCTTTGGTGAAGTCTTCCTTGACCCCCTCAGGACGAGGTCATTTCTTCAATTTTGCATTTTGGATCATCTGGGAAAGGTGAGTCTCTGCAACTCTTACAAACGCTAACAAACAATCCCCAAATCTCAGGGGGCTTTAGCCTTGTTCACACTAAATTTCTAATGCAGGTGTGCAGGGGCAGAGGTTGCTTTTCACATTGTAGAGTTACTCAGAGACTCCGGCCGTTGGTGGCACCACCATTTTATGACGCCATTTTCTTAACGTGTGGCTTCCTAGTTTGCCGGAGCAAGAGAGGAGAGCTTGGACAATGCTGCCCTAAACTCTTAAATGCTTCCACCCAGAAATCACACCACTCACTTCTGCTCATATTTTGTTACTCACAACAAGTTACATGATTATGCTGTGTGGTCATGATGTGTGTAGAAATATCTTTAGGTCTAGGAATGGAAGAAGAGCTGGAAGTATTAGGGAATATTAGTACTGTTTATCACACACTATTATATAATATGCATTAATCCTAAAGGCTTGGAGATAGCACCAATCACTGCTTCTTTAGTTCAGCTATAGCTGTATGTGAGATCTCCATGCACAGAGAGAATTATATGTTCATTATCTGCTGATAAGCCTCTCTCCCACCGCTGAAAGTATTTCTAGAATCAGGATTGTGTCCAATTCATCTTTGGTAGGCCATAGGTGCTCCATAAATACACCAGATAGGTAAATAGATAAATAAAGAGAAACGTTTTCTACTTATAAGACTTCATGATCCTAGTGCTATACTCAACACAATATATAACAGATGTCAGGCAGCACTTTTCAACACTGGTAGCCAACATACTTTTTATAAAACTCTGGCCCAGGCAGAGTCCGTGAAATTTTAGAGCCTGGAATTCACTGCCAATGTCTGCCGCTCAACAACAACAACAGCGACAAAAAGGCGCATACAGTCGTCCTTCCATAGCTGTGGGTTCCACACCCATGGATTTAACCAACTGTGCATCCAAATATTCAGAAAAATAGAAAAGGATTGTTGCATCTATATCAAATGCATGTAGACCCCTTTTTCTTGTCATCATTCCCTAAACAATACAGTGTAACAACGATTTACATAACATTTACTTTATATTAGGAATTATAAGTAATCTAAGGATGATTTAAAGTATACAGGAGGATGTGCGTAGGTTACAAGTAAATATTATGCTATTTTATATAAGGAACTGGAGCATTCTTGGATTTTGGTATGGGGGGGGTGGTTCGGAAACCAATCCCCAACAGATACCAAGGGGTGACTGTATTTCATGATTATGTGTCAGTAGAAAGACCTTCTGTGTATAATCCATACTAAGACACATGCATCAAGCATCTCTGTGGTGTATGCTTCTGTGTGTGTGTGTGTGTGTGTGTGTGTGTGTGTGTGTGTGTGTGTGCGCGCGCATTTTCATGTATCCAGAGATTCACCATGTCTGCACATTCATAAGATCCTGGGAAGACCATGCTCTCAACTTGCCAAATCAACACATTTTATTGAATGATAAACTGGGTCATTTGGTGAATCTATTCTCAACTCAAATCTGCTTTGAGAGTGTACAGAGTCGCACTTGAACTTGCTATGTCAACTGTAGAGTCTCCTGGCTTTCTTATAAGGTTGCACTAACAGTATGTCCAAATACACATTGATACTTGTTAATAGCGTCATCTTCACCAGCCTCTAATAGTCATTGAGCACTTACTGTACCAGGCATTTTGATGAGTGTTTTATATTCAAAATCATGTTGACATCTCACAAGAATTCTAAAAGGAAGGCACTACTGCAATGCCCAGTCTATAGCTGAGGACATTGGCACTTAGAAAGGTTAAGTGGTTGCCTAAGGTCACACAGCCGTAAGTCAGTAGGGCTGGTCTTCAAGCCTGGACTCATCCTTATGTTCCTGACCAAGCCTGGCCATAGAAGGATATCACTCTGGCCTGGATTTTGCTCTGTAGCTCTCTTTACCCCATCAGTCTTTTTTAACTAGGGACTGGTTGTTATTTGCTGCACATGGACTTGAGAACAGATGGCTTTTAGAAATTCTTCGGATGCCATGAGATCTACCACCTTGAAATGTCAAAGCAGCAAAATTCAAACCCAGGGGCCCTGGGTGCCAGTGAGACAGGTGGCATCTTTTTTATCACATCAGATGAGGTCAGGGATAGAATGTGAAACCTCTGAACCTCAGAATGACAGTCGCCATTGATTGAGCACCTTCTATATTTCAGGCCCTGAATTCCTGGCTTGGAGTAGGTTTCCATGGCAGCCATGTGATGTGGATACTATTTTACCCCATTTCACAGATGAGTAAACTGAATCTCAGGTGGATCAAGTAAGTTTGTCCTACAGCTGACAATCTGAATAGTCAGAATTTGAGTCCTTATCTGTCTGGCTGCAGAGTGTGAATTGTATTCTATGCACTGCACTAAGAGAAAAAAAAATAGAAGGCATTATTTTTCCTCTTAGTTTCAAAGACAATTTTGAAAAAGAAGAGTGAGAAGGATGACTATTCTAGCCGATATTAAAATTTATCATAATATATAAATTTTACTCTTTTACAATAAAAGAGTTCTTTCCTATTATAAGAATCAACAAATAAATAGATGGAGAAAGTAAAACACCCTTGAAACATACCCCTATGTGTGTATATGCATATGTGAAGTTAAAGCACAATAAAAAATGCATCAAAATCACTGGAGAAAGGAAGGCTCTTTAGACAAATCCTATTTGAAAATTAGTTATTTATGAAAAAATAATTAAGTCGCATCTTGTATTAAATACCAAAATAAATTCTAGATGCATTAAAGATTTAAATGTCACATATAAGAATCATAAAAATGAAGAAAATATCAGTGAAGAATTAACCAGTGTGTATAAGGAAAATCTTCCTAAATAAAGATGCAAA